AGGAATGCGCCTTCGAGAGCAGTGACCTGGACCAGTATTTGCCGCAACAGCAGCAGCAACTTTCCCAGCATAGTCCGGCTCATATACATCAATACAATAGCCAGGTGCCAGCCTCCACCCATTGGCTCATCAACAGGTTGATTTACCCTACATACTTTTCTCTAAATTCTCGTGTATTCTTCATTCCCAATACTTCTTAGGTTTAAATTCTATTTCATTTTCATGGCAATATTCTTGATAAATCGCCTTAATCGATTGCAAATATTAAATTTCAATTATCAAAAAACAAAGCAAAACAAAACAAAACAAACAAAAAAAAAAACAAAGAAATTTTATAACCAGTTTTTACCTCATCCTTATCAAATACAAGACGACGTCCGTTCTCCTTTTACAGATACGACGAGGATTGTGTGGAGCGACTGGGTAAGCGTCACTTCGTACTAGATCAGCAGCAAGTTCCCATGTCAACTGAGACGAATTGCTGGGATGGACAACATCAGCAGCAGCAGCAGCAACAGCAACAACAACAACAACAACAACAACAACAACAACAACAGCAGCAACAACAGCAGCAACAGCAACAACGCAACCGCGATGAAATGATGCGGTATCACGAGCTCCAGCCGTTACCGGTACTACCTCCCGTCCAATACATAGCGCAACAACACCAGCAGCATCACCAGCAACAGCAACAGCAACAGCAACAGCAACAGCAACAGCAACACCAGCAACAGCAACAGCACCATCAACACCATCATCACCATCACCCGGTGACTCAGGTTCCCGGGCATCCTACGCCAGCTGCCGCAGTCTACGCTCAGTATCGGCACTACGTGCCTAGCATCGACAGCCGCACGAATTTTATTTGAAACACGTCATCGTGGAGGGCCACGTGCTTATCCGTCTGACGCCAAGACCAATGTCATGACTTTGCGGATGACGTTGGGTGGAGTGGGGGGGGGGCAAACACGAGGCCTCGTTGATGGAAGAAATCCGGTAAATGGGAATAGCCGATTCGACTATTAACCCGCCCAACGATTGGTAAACTACACGCTATAATAAACCTCGGACTCGCTTAAGCCAAGATATTTCAAAAAATTTCACCGGACTTAGGCTCCGAATCTAAGGCGATATTACATGAGCTTGCCGCCTGCGATTGCGCACCTACTCCCGTTACACATTAGCAATTTTCACTTTAATCACGGACCAATACCGACAAATTACTTATTTAACCTACCAATAACGAAGCATTAACGATCTTCAGCCGAAAGATTTTGTCATTCGCCTAGACCACTTCGAGCCTTCAATCTACAAGTTTAAACATTCCAAGTGATATCGATAGAATCCTCCTTCAACGTATTATCGATCGTTAAGTTTCAATTTGCTTGGCTGCGCTTCCTAAGACTATAAATAAAGAGCATGCAAATGGGATACTTGGCAGAGAAAGTAAAAAAAAAAAGAAGATAAAAAGAAGAAAAAAACTATTAGATTGGAAATAGGTAGAGGAATTTTCCAACGCTGCTCAATCGATAAAATTAACACACTTAGTCATTCTAAAAAAAAAAAAAAAATAATAATAATAATAATAATAATAATTTATTAATTCACAAATGTTATAAAGTACAAATTCTTTTTATATTATTATTAACTACGAAACATTCTTTTAAAACGATGCATTTCTATTGTAGCGAAGACAAATTATATAAGACCATAACTGGAGATCACGTAATCAGGTAAAATCTTGTTTAATTGATATAACGACATAATAATTTACTTAATGTTTTATTAAAGTGCAATTGTACAGGTATAAGAAGTCAAAGTAACGCCTACACATTTAAACATTAATAGACGGGGTATTTTCATTAGGTCGAAGATATTTCTTTTTGCTTAGTTTATATCCGTTTCTTTTACTTTATACACGCGCGCGCGCACGCACACACACACACACACATGTTTTTTTTTTTTTTTTTTTTTTTTTTTTTTTTTTTTTTTTTTTTTCAATTAAAAGAAAAAGCCTAGTATATAATTTCGAAATTATTTTAATTCTTCTGCATTCTTTCCAGCATAAAATACCAGTAATATTTTAGACAAAAAATAAAACAAAAAAAAAAACAAAAAAAATCAGGAAATTAACTATTAATTCCAGTGTAAGTAGCAGTTAGATTTTTAATATTTATATTATTTTTTAAACATTTAGATGAATACGCTACTGCGTAACAACATATCATACTTTCTTATGATACTTTTATCCTAAAACAACAAAAAAGTATGAAAATGATGAATACCATTGGGACCGAAGTCCCAGCATATAATATGTAAAATTGTTATCGTCGTAGGCGCGAATAAGAAAAAAGTCAAATCACAATTTAAACAAATCACATGTCAGCGCTTCGTTAAATGCGCCGAATTAGCCAAATACAGATGTAATTAAACGTTTTAATTACAGTGATCGATTAGAGTACGTAAAATATGAACATTTAGTAGTATCTATCTACCATTACCTTAACTTAATTACCATATCATACAAAAGTGCGTAAAGAAATAAAAGTTTATATAGTGAATAATTCGATTAAAATTAATTGACAATAAATACGTAGAATAATATAATAAGAAGGGGTCTCCTCTCACGTACAAGTCGCGATTCCAAGATCTTCAACTGTTTGGCATTATTTCGTAAAATTAATATATATATTAATTGTTTGAACCAAAATGAATAATTATAAAGTAGATTAAGAAAAAATATTCTATTTTTGAAACGTATATTAAGATATTTGTAGGAATATAAAAAGAAAATGATAAGAGATAAAGATGATTTTTTATAATAATATAACGGATTTGGAATATTTACGAAGATTTAAAAAATTAATTTCTCGTCATTAGTATTTTAATTCATTGTGTCAGTCTTGAGAGGAAAAGAACCATTAAAATAATCAACTTTTAATGGGAATCCTCCTCCATCAAATAAATAAATAAAAACGAGAATATATAAACACTCGAGAATGCGAAATACAGACATACGTAGATGCATTATATATATATATATATATATATATATATATATAATGAATATATGTTCTACTGAACAGAGTCGGAGACAGATAGATAGAGAGAGAGAGAGAGAGAGAGAGAGAATATCGCGCAGCATAACTGAGACTCCATGACATCATTCATTCCATGACAGTCGGCCGCAGATTTCCAGGCCAAACAAACCTTAACTCTCTTGTTGAATAGCATTTGAGAGATAGAGAAAGAACTACGCACGCACGCACGCAAACACACAAAAGCGCCCCGCAAACACAGAGACAACAGCCGATCTAATAATATAAACTCCCTCAATCGCCATAAGCATATAAAGCGATTGGATGCGCAGTTGGCCTTTGCGCGTATTTCGTTGCATGAAATCTAATCAAACGCGCTTATAAAATAAATTTCCGTAGTTTTATCGTACACTTGAATTTGTTTACCGATTGTTCGTCATTTCTCGACATAAAGGCAATAGGTATATAATAGGTCCTTCGAACGAAAGGATTTGCAATTCAATTAGATTTCGTAAAATAATCCGTAAATTTATAATATATATTCAATTTATTAAGCAAAGCAGCCGAGTAAATTATAAGTAACATTAAAATATTTCGCCTTGCCGAGTTTGAATATATTTTTCTAGAAAATTGGGAAAATAAATAATCTACGTTTAAAGTAGCGTATATTAGCGTAACATTTATACGACAATAAAGCAAATAAATATCCAATTTACTAATAAAAAGTAGTTCAATGTAATTCTGCGTCATTTATTAATCGAATGCAGGGATCGGTAAATGTTTAAATAAAATGATGCCATTTTTCAAAATCATTTTTATTAATCTCGTCAGTCAAAAATGCCAACTTTTGCAGTCATAAAGGTATACGTTTGCCTTTTATATCCTTCTCATCTTGCTTTTCTATCCCTCCTTACTTTAGCAGTACATTTTACTTTCCAGAGATATAATCGTTAAAAAAAAAAGCCTTGTACAATAAAGTACTATTATATACGTTTTTACAATATGTATAAAGTGAAGAAGAAGAAGAAGAAGAAGAAGAAGAAGAAGAAGAAGAAGTCGAAGTCGAAGTCGGTGATTTGCGATGATAATGTAGAAGATTCGACACAGGATCGTAGACACGATTCTGGATAAGAATTTAAATCGCTGACCGAATGCCTTTTTATATATACGTAAAAAAAAAAAAGGACGTCGTATATACGTATAAACGTCCTCTTAACACAATTAAATCTCGTTACATTTTTAATTATGCGATATAGCGCTGGAAACGCGCAGTTTTTTGTACTTAGATATTTATTTACCTGAATTAGACGAACATGCGCGCCCACATTGTGAAATTATTAACGAGTCGTCACATTAATCTGTTATAATGTCAAAATAAAAACTTCAAATATTACATTCGAATACTTTGTGTTTTTAGTTTTTTATTTATTTACACAACTCGCTACATTATTATAAGCTCCTCCTTACACGAATTGCTTACCAACCGAATATTCATCAAGCCCATTGAGCACACACACGCACATTCTCAAGTGAAAGTTCCCAGTAATGCTAAGCTTTGACAGTTTTTTTCATAGAATAATTAGAGAATTTTCACGTGCCAATGATCGAGGCCGAGACATCGACAACTAATGGAATTTCCCCGAGAATAATTGATCATTATAATCAATAATTTATGACGAGTTGCTGCTCTCCTGCTTTTACTCGATTATAAAAGTTAAATTAAGGTGGGACTCGCGCCCCAAGTCATTTTAACTTCCCAAAGCTATAAATTTGCAGAAGGTGACAGAAAGGAATAATGATAGCTGAAGAGGCTATCCCTATCCGGAAATGACGACAACGACGACGCCAACGACGACGACGAAGACGACGACTAAGACGACGACGAAGACGACGACGAAGAAGACGACATCGGGGATGCGGCGGTGTACGAGAATTCACGGGGGCGGGGGTCGTGGATGGACCTTTCCGCGAACAGCCCCGGCAAACAGCGCGGCGCCGACGGCTTATCAGAGCCCCTCGTTGGAGTTAACGTACGTCGCGCGTGGGAATGTCGCACACCGCCTGTAATGCCACTCGAGATTGTAATGGGCTAGAGCAAAGAGGTAGGGCGATGGCGAGAGAGGGGGTTGGGTAGAGCAAGCCTCAGCGGAAGCGATGAGGATGTTCGCAACGTTCTTCGGCCTTTTTTTCCATATACTTCTTACAACCACTACTAACTAGCTTTTTTCCCCCGTCGGGGGCAGACCTGAAAAACAGCCACGGACGTGTCGCGACTCCTCTCCTACTTTCATCTCACCATAAGAGGAGAAGAGCTACGTCTTACGATAGGCAAGAGCCTCACTAGAGCGGCGGCAGAGTGTGTGTGTGTGAGAGAGAGGTGATTAACAACGAGAGTCAGCTCGTCATTTACATGTCGCTCGTGTATCTTCGGCATTAACACATTTTAAATAATTCCTTGCCTGTCGTGGTTTATACGAGTTACTCGTCCCAATTTTGCCGATTATTAGATACGAGCTTTATTCCCCCCCCAGCCACCCACACCTATCTATCTATCTATCTATCTATCTCGGCATGTTCTTCAGTCTTATGGATTGTTTTTCCTTTCTTTTGGCTTTTCTTTTTGATATTTCAACTAATAATAATAAAATTAGATTGTGTTTGGATATCGTAAAAAAAAAAGGACAACAAATTTGCTTTAACGTTCAGGGAAGCAACGTGTATTTAAAATTACATTTGAATAGTCTAGATGTTTTTGTACCTGCGATGCGCTCGTCCATTGTAAAGTTTTCGCCTACGTGTAACGCAATCATTCGAAATCATACGAAACGGTTAAATCTATAAGTTAACAAAGATATTGTGAGTGAAATCGATAATACATAGACGATCGTCGCATTTGTCATTTC